TCTTATCATTTAGAAGTTAATAAATAAAAGTAAACATAAGTTGGTTATTAGTAATTTTATTAAGAAGAACACAATTAGTGAAGCCTTAAGAGTATCATTTGCCTATATTGATCCAAGCACTAATTCTTGTATAATTTTGTAGAAGTTGGTGGGTATTGACTTTGTAAACTCTTTTCTTAATTTCTGAGTAATAACATGCATTTCACTTCTAATCATAACTGGTACACACCTCTTAGAAAAGGGAAACCTAGCTACAAAAAATTTATTAAGTTGAATCAAGATGATTTAAGGGTGTCTTGCAACATGGTCAGCACGTTGGAGGTGGTTATCATTTCCAAGCTAGGAATTGCAATATACATACTTCATCATGTCATTGAGACGAAAAATGTGAGGATAATTTGTTCTAAAGTTTAGAAAGACAAGTTAAAAAAAGAAAACACACCTGTTTACTAAAGAGGGTGCTTCCATCGGCCATGGCATCCGTGCTTGTACTTGTAACAGTGGGTCCCTTCAATTTTCGGCAGTTCCCTATAGCCAATTGCTTCAAGGATGGGAATTCAATCATACAATTTCCTGAGTAGAATTTGACAAGATTTTGAAGATTTTTTAACTCTAGGAATGTTAGCTCAGGAAAAGAAATTGAATTTTCCATGTCTTCTACATTCTCTGTGGCAATGATCTCTCTTATATTCTTGCAGTTCTTTATTTTGAGGCGGCAAAGCTTCTTCAAGCCTCTAGCCATAGAGGACGAGAATAACAGCTCTAAGTTATCACAGCCTTGAATGGTAAGTTCAGTAAGGTTCATAATGCAATAAGCCGTTGCAGAGATGTGCCATATAATTTTAATTTCTATTGACCTTAGTTCCAACTCCTCAAGGTTGGGAATGACAACCTGCACATTAAGTAATTCTTTTGGTTAGCAAACCCTAAATCTTATATATCATTTTGGTGACAATAAGCAAACATAATTATTGGTATTTATATTGAGACAATGGCACTTGACAGCCTAACATGTGCAG